TCTACATCAACATGTGTCCCCTCTTCTTCATGTCCTCTTTCATCAACATGTGTCCCTCTTCTTCATGTCTCTTCTACATCAACATGTGTCCCCTCTTCTTCATGTCTCTTCTACATCAACATGTCCCCCTCTTCTTCATGTCTCTTCTTCATCAACATGTGTCCCCTCTTCTTCATGTCTCTTCTTCATCAACATGTGTCCCCTCTTCTTCATGTCTCTCCTACATCACATGTGTCCCCTCTTCTTCATGTCTCTTCTTCATCAACATGTGTCCCCTCTTCTTCATGTCTCTTCTACATCAAACATGTGTCCCCTCTTCTTCATGTCTCTTCTTCATCAACATGTGTCCCCTCTTCTTCATGTCTCTTCTACATCAACATGTGTCCCCTCTTCTTCATGTCTCTTCTTCATCAACATGTGTCCCCCTCTTCTTCATGTCTCTTCTTCATCAACATGTGTCCCCTCTTCTTCATGTCTCTTCTTCATCAACATGTGTCCCCTCTTCTTCATGTCTCTTCTTCATCAACATGTGTCCCCTCTTCTTCATGTCTCTTCTTCATCAACATGTGTCCCCTCTGTGTAAAGAGACTCTGAAAGTTTCAGGAACAAAGATTCTCTCTCTTTTTGATCCATTTTTATAAAAACCTGTCTGAAAATGAGCTGATCAGATTTTGGCCACTTTATGATGTCATAACGATGTTTTGTCTTGTGTAACCATTAGCCAATCACCAACCAAGGTAACCCCCCCTCCCCCTTATCACCTGATTCTCCTCCTAGAGCACCATTGAGTTCTTTGTAACCAAATGTCTCTCAGAGGGGCGTGGGGAGGGGCTCCTTATTTTCATCTAAAGTAACAGACAGAGAATCAGCACTTTGGAAACAGGGCTGAAACAGAGGGGATTATGGGTAATGCTGCAATGATCTGTTTGGTGTTTCAGCCAATCAGAGACAGGCTCTGTATACATCTGAGACCTGTGATATATTGATGAAGAAGAGGATGATAGGGGACCTTTAAATAAAGAATCTTCCAAAACTGGTTCGTAGGCACCTGAACACTAAATACTTTATCTTGTGGTAAATGTATATGAGGATGTGTGTATCTATCAGTGACGTGCAGTGAGGTTCATGGCTGGTGAGGCACTGAGTCAGATTTACAAATATTATATTTTGACCTTAATCGAAATATTCGGTTATTTTCAAAAGCTTTTTTAGTCTGATGCTTCGATTCATTTTAAACAGACCGTTCAACAAAAGGATACCCCAAAATCTAAATATTGGATTGTTCTTTCTTAGTAAGATCCCATTTTCATTACAAATGTGGTCTTACCTTGACTTGAAGATGAAGTCCATGCTATCCTTCTGGACAACAATCTCTATGACTTTTTTGTAAAAGTCCTCCTTATCTTCCTGTAGTTTCAAAAGTCTAGTTTGTTGTTACGTCTACCGTCTCTGCGTAGAATTACAGTAGCAACAAGAACCTGTGGGCTCACGTGCGCCCCCTTCAGTGCGGCAGAGGTTATGGCTGCCTCCCCTGGTGCATTTTCATTGCCGTTGAGACCAACGAGCCTAAATATCATATATACGTGAAATAAGTTATTTAGAGACTATGGATGGCGAGGATAAATGTAATAAAGGGATCTACATACATTACATTGGTGACCTACAGTGAGATGGTAACAGGCATGCGCTTAGGGCCCCGCTTTCCAGACAGTTTCTGTGGGGTGACGCATTCTGAGGTGAGGCAGAGCTCATCTGTGCCTCAACTCAGCCCACAGTAAATGGCTTGAGCGCGCTCACAAAATAAGTGCCCGCGCTACATTAGTGCCCGTGCTCCAGCAAGTTACTGTGGGCTTACGAGAGGCAGAGCACGTCCCTGCCTCACTTGTCATCGCTCCCGTAGCGGAGCTCGGCAAATTTGCTGATTTTGACTATAAAAAGCGATTAGAATCATACATAAATCACACTTACAACACAGATCAGTGGAGACATTTTATTATTATTACTATTTCGTTTTTCTTTAGTTGTTTTTCCGTTACATTGGAGTATGACAGGTGAGGCTCTGCCTCCCCTGCCTCCACTGACTGCACGTCGCTGGTATCTATATATCACACCTCAACATGAGCAGAACATGTCCTATAACTTATAGTATTGTAGCTGCTGTATGTAAAAGCTGTATGCTAACATGTTAGCATGGAATACTCTACTGATAAACAGCCTCATGTTTTGTTTCTAACTTTGATGTCTTCTTTGTGTTTACATCCTGTCTTTATTTCATCTCTCTGTTTATTCCTGAACGATCCTTTGGTCCATTTCTGTTTTCTCTCTTATGCCCCAGTTACCTCCAAAAACCTCCGACAAACTGTGTGTGTGTGTGTGTGTGTGTGTGTGTGTGTGTGTGTGTGTGTGTGTGTTGTGTGTGTGTGTGTGTGTGTGTGTGTGTGTGTGTGTGTGTTTTGATGCAGTCCATCTGTGGGGCAGTGTCCAGGATAATAATTAGGTCACAGTGTTTAAACACACATGCAGCATGTTAGTGTGTGGGTGTATGTGTGTGTGTGTGTGTGTGTTTGTGTGTGTGTGTGTGTTTGTGTGTGTGTGTGTGTGTAAGATGTTTACAGAACGGTTTAAACAAGAACAGAGAAGTCTTAGTCATGAAAACCCAACTTAAAGGGGACCTATCATGCAAAATGCACTTGTGTACGTCTTTTCTACATGAACATGTGTCCCCGGTGTTCCAGGGAACTCACCAAGTGTCAGAAAACACAACCCTCTCTATTTTCCTCCATACCCAAATCTCTAAAAAAGGGGCTGCAACGGATCTGATAAAAACTGATCCAGATTTGAACACTGTCCTGACGTCAGGACGGTGGGCGCTACGGCTATTGGGCCAACTCCACCAATCAGGAGGAGACAGCCACGGCCATTGCCGTTCGAAAGCGCTGGAGACGCTGTAGTACATATGCCAGGCCTGTAGATGGTGCTGTTCTCACTGAATCTGCCCTTGCTAAAACAGAGCAAAAATAAGTGCAAATTGAGCAAAATGAGGCATGGCTAAAATGCATGATCTGTTTGGTATTTTGAAGAAAAAAAAGTATAAATATGCCTTATATAGGTATGGTCCTACACTATATTATTATAATATAGCATGATAGGTCCACTTTAACTTGTTAGTGTACTTGGATATTTTATAATAAAACCAAACTTTTCTGCATACTGAGTACTTTCACTTTTGCATACTTAAAGTACAATTTGCTGAAAATACTTGAACTTTAACCCTTGTTTTATGTTCACATGTTGGACCCTTTGGTTCTGTTTGGGTCAAATTGAACCAAGACATTGTTCGGGTTTAAAGTAGTAGTAGTTGAACTTTTTCCTTCTCTGAGACAGAACAGCCATCTCAGCAGAGACATTACATTACATGTCACTTGTTAGACGCTTTTATCCAAAGTGACTTACATACTCAATACTGTGGACAATCCCCACAGGAGCAGTTTGGGGTGAAGTGTCTCAGGAACACAACGACATGCTGACTGCAGTGGGGTTTGAACCTGTGACCATCTGATCCCCAGACCAAGGCTCTATCTACTGCGCCACACGCCTCCAGATGGACAGAGACAGATGGAGATGATTGACCATCTGGAGGTCACTTTAATATCAACACAAATAATGTTATTGGTTTGTTGAAAAAGGTTTTGATAGATCGACCTGGCGGTATCTCGTTCATGGTCACCTGGCACAACAAATACAGCTCTAACACGGCCAGGTGCCCGGACGTTTAGGGACTTTCCTGTTGTGCCGATTCTGGCCGGAGAGAGAGCCCGAAACTTTGAAACCGGCTCCCAAAGTGGGTAGGTCTGGAGACGAAACGCTTGCGGCTCCGTGTGTACGCCCTATACGATCATTTCCTGAATCAATGACGCCATAGCCCCGCCTCTCCCCACCTCTCCTGCTCACCCCGCCTCATTGCTGATGCATTTCGCCAACAACAACAACAATGGCGGATCACAGGGTTGCGTTCGCGCTCCAGACGCTACTGACCATGCTACAGATTTTAGTGCAAAATGTAGTTTTCACAAATGCCTCCCTTCTTGCACGAATATCCGCCATCTTCTACCTTGTTTGTTTGTTTATGCCTTATGCTCGGGGGGTCTTATTCGCTGCTTTTGGTGTATTCTGTGGCGGAAGTACAGCGCCACTTACAGGCCCAGCATATGTACTACAGCGTCTCCAGCGGTTTCGAGCGGTTTCGTTTGGACGGACACATTTCTTGAGCCGATTCCGTGTGGACGGAAGACTTTTTTGAAATCGACTTTGGTTCGAAATCGGTTTCGTCTCCGTGTGGACGGGGCCTTCATTTACAGCAGTTACACAACCTTCAAGGTCCAGAGATTAGAGCAACCACTACGGTACTTTCCCTCTATGTTAGGTCCCGTCCCTTTTTTAAGGTGAACAAACTTGCTGTCATGTGACTGGCTGTGAATACAGATTCTGAGGTTTTTGCCACATCACATCAACACATTAAGAAAACAGTGCATTTCTTAATCTACCAGGAGACAAATAACAATTGTCTAAAATCTGCTTTATGGGTCTTTTTTGTTGTTTGATGTTCAGCAGCTTTTAGGGATAATAAAGACTATTTTTAGTTTTCACCGGAAAGTGTCGTTCTATCGGACAGGAAGTGGCGCATAAGCATACGCTGCCTTATCATCCATTTCACTCTAAATGTGACCATAGTTTACTAAATGTACATCATGATGTGTTGAAGAAGACTTCAAACCGTGAATTTGGGACCATAACCGAATCAGGGAAATGTTTACTGACGTAGTTAATGACTAGAGAAGTAGGAACATTTTCTCTTAGACTTCTATACAATCGTTGGCCCCCTGCTGGATATCAGAGAGAATGCAGGTTAAGGGCACTTTGGCTTCACTTTTTAGACCGGGAGGTTACAGAATAAACACGGCATGTATTGAATCATATCACAACACGTGTAATATTTGCAGTTTTTTATGTTTACGACTTCACATCCAATGGAGACGAGAACCTGCAGGTTTCCTTCCTGTCGCACAGACTTCTGGGTATTATCGTCTAATTAACCCTCGCATTCTGTCGAACAGGAAGTAAGGAAGTGGCGGGTGAGAGAAGGGCGGGGTTTCCCACAATGCATCTGTGCAGCGGCAGCCGGAGAGTAAACAGCAGAGTGTTGTGAAACCGACAGAGAGTGTTTCCAGGCCGGCAGTAAACATGATGGATGTGTGTTAGTGTTGGCCTCAGTGTGTGTGTGTGTGTGTGTGTGTGTGTGTGTGTGTGTGTGTGTGTGTGTGTGTGTGATGGAGCCTGTTACTAACTTTCTTTGTACCTTTCACCACTGGAGAGGCGAGGCTCTAAGATTGTTTTGGACAATAACAATGATAGGTCAAATTTTTAATCTGCCAACAACAACCAGAATAACGTTAGTCACTTACAAGGAAAGTGCCTTTGTGTGTGGTGCATTCAAAGGGTAAAGAATGGCAGATCATGTCCTGCAAAGTCTTCCTTTTTCCTCCCAAAAACAGATATTTCTTCATCTCGTTTTGGACCCAGCTTTAGTCGCTCATAACACACAGGGTGTGGATTTAATCTGCAGGTTCAGAATGAGACCAAACGTTTTTGAAGCAGTCCGTTTCTGCAGCAGAACAAACGCCAACATGTTGCAACAGACGAGGAATGGCTTGTTTCTGGCCTCAACTCTTCTGTTGGAGGCCAGAAGTCCTGAAGGAGGAACGCTGCAACAAGCTGAAAACACAACGGAGACCAGGGGACACTAAAGAGTGACGCACACAGCTGGGACAGCTTGGTAACTGTCTCTGTTGCAGAGTTAGTCGTCTCATAACTGTACGTTTAACATCAGAAGGAGTCATGTGACCACATTGTTAAAAAAAGCCCATCAAACATTTTAGTTTCCAACAACAGAGAAAGTTGTTCAGTTTTATAATCCTGAAAGTCTCCAGCTGTGTGCGTCACTCTTTAGTGTCCCCTGGTCTCCCAGCTGTGTGCGTCACTCTTTAGTGTCCCCTGGTCTCCCAGCTGTGTGCGTCACTCTTTAGTGTCCCCTGGTCTCCCAGCTGTGTGCGTCACTCTTTAGTGTCCCCTGGTCTCCCAGCTGTGTGCGTCACTCTTTAGTGTCCCCTGGTCTCCCAGCTGTGTGCGTCACTCTTTAGTGTCCCCTGGTCTCCCAGCTGTGTGCGTCACTCTTTAGTGTCCCCTGGTCTCCAGCTGTGTGCGTCACTCTTTAGTGTCCCCTGGTCTCCCAGCTGTGTGCGTCACTCTTTAGTGTCCCCTGGTCTCCCAGCTGTGTGCGTCACTCTTTAGTGTCCCCTGGTCTCCAGCTGTCTGCGTCACTCTTTAGTGTCCCCTGGTCTCCCAGCTGTGTGCGTCACTCTTTAGTGTCCCCTGGTATCCAGATGTGTGCGTCACTCTTTAGTGTCCCCTGGCCTCCCAGCTGTGTGCGTCAATCTTTAGTGTCCCCTGGCCTCCCAGCTGTGTGCATCACTCTTTAGTGTCCCCTGGTCTCCAGCTGTGTGCGTCACTCTTTAGTGTCCCCTGGTCTCCAGCTGTGTGCGTCACTCTTTAGTGTCCCCTGGTCTCCAGCTGTGTGCGTCACTCTTTAGTGTCCCCTGGTCTCCCGGCTGTGTGCGTCACTCTTTAGTGTCCCCTGGTCTACCAGGTGTGTGCGTCACTCTTTAGTGTCCCCTGGTGTCCAGCTGTGTGCGTCACTCTTTAGTGTCCCCTGGTATCCAGCTGTGTGCGTCACTCTTTAGTGTCCTCTGGTCTCCCAGCTAATGTGCGTCACTCTTTAGTGTCCCCTGGTCTCCCAGCTAATGTGCGTCACTCTTTAGTGTCCCCTGGTCTCCCAGCTAATGTGCGTCACTCTTTAGTGTCCCCTGGTCTCCCAGCTAATGTGCGTCACTCTTTAGTGTCCCCTGGTCTCCCAGCTAATGTGCGTCACTCTTTAGTGTCCCCTGGTCTCCCAGCTAATGTGCGTCACTCTTTAGTGTCCCCTGGTCTCCCAGCTGTGTGCACATGATGATAACCTTGAATCTTCAGAGTGTAAACTGTGTCTCTTGTCTCCTGCAGTCCTCTGTCCTCTGCTCTGTAAGAATGGAGGCGTCTGTCTTCAGAAGGATCGGTGTCTCTGCCCGCCAAACTTCACCGGGAAGTTCTGTCAGATCCCCGTCACCCCCTCCTCAACCAATGAGGTCGTGAAGCTCTCGGCCAATGAGGAGCTCTCTGAGTTCCTGCTGCCGCTCGGACCGAGCCCGGAGACGGGGACGTCCGGAGGTGAAGATCTCTGACCACATGCACCTGTTTCAAATAAACACTAGAGAAATGAAATGATAACAACTATTCCTCTTTTATTTATTCATTTACTTTTTACTCAATTCAAATATCTGTGTGTGTGTGCATGTCTCTCTCTCTCTCTCTGTGTCTGTGTGTGTGTATGGTGTGTGTGTGTGTGTGTGTGTGTGTGTGTGTGTGTGTTTGGTGTGTGTGTGTGTGTGTGTGTGTTTGTGTGTGTGTGCAGCTCCCAGCCCCTCCATGGTGAAGGTCAGAGTGCAGCACCCCCCCGAGGCCAGCGTGAAAATCCACCAGGTGCTGAAGGTGAGTAAATCAAACGCACCCTTTAGTGACTTACATTTAAAGGTCTCCTATCATGCAAAAGTCACTTTTTGATATCTTTTCTACATCACTATGTGTCCCCGGTGTGTCCCCGGTGTGTCCCTGGTGTGTCCCCGGTGTGTCCCCGGTGTGTCCCCGGTGTGTCCCCCGTGTGTCAGGAGACTCACAAAGTGTCAGGAAATAAAACCCTCTCTCTTTTCCTCCGTACCCACATCTCTAAAAACGGGGGAACAACGGAGCTGATCCAGATTTGCTGCGTCATGACGACGTTACTAAAATGTGGGCGGGCTTTAAGCCCCTGACACACCAACCCGATTTTGGGAGTCAGAGGCCGTCAGAGGCAGTCGGGCATTCGCGGCGCCCTACTCAGGTTGGTGTGTCCCGCATCGTCGTCTCTTTACGGCACATTTTCACACCTCCCGCGGCAGTTGGCCAAAGAACTCACTCTGATTGGCTGTTCAGCTTAGCGAATCAGTGCATGAGAAGCGAAGCGGAAGTGAGGGACCAAAACAAACGATTAAGAAGGCACACACAGACGGCTAATCTTTTTCATTTTCATCTCACCCGGACGCAAGAGTTTCTTTTTTATGTTTACATGTTTTCGATCGACGAGAGAGAGTGAAAATGGAACCCAGACGCTATTTGTTGTTTGTTTATATCACGCAGTCTGTTCTTCTTCTCTCGGTGTATCACGCAGTCTGTTCTTCTTCTCTCGGTGTATCACGCAGTCTGTCTTCCGGCTGTTGCCTCTTTTGAATGACGATCACACACTACCGCTGCCTGCTGGTAAGGACAGTTATTGCCACTCGTCGACTGAAGTCTTTGCGGTGTGTTCGTAGGCGGGCGGCGTAGCCGACGCAGGCGGCGTAGCGGACGTAAAAAAGTCGGGACGCCTTCGGTACGCGTTCTTTGGTCTCAGGTTGGTGTGTAGCGGCCTTTACACCCACGGGCCAATCAGAAACGTTGCTGTCAGAAACACTCTAACCTGTACTGGAGAGAGCATGTGTGAAGAAGCAGGGAATGAAAAGGAACTCACCTTGTGGTTAACCTGAGAGAGAGAAAGAGTTTGAGCTCCATACTGTTTCAGAGAGAATCCTTGATGTGGTTTGGAACATGATATGGAGTTTAATCACGGGAGCATTTAGCTGAGTTTCTGCTGGTAGAATCTTTTTAAAAAATTTGTTAAAGCTACGGACCCAGAATCAGCACTTTAGTAACAGCTGGAATAGAGGGGGTTGAGGCTAGAATGATGTGTTTGGTATTTTGAGCAAAACATTTTTTTATATATTTTTACTGAGACCTATAATATCCAGTCTCAGGTGTTTCTAACCTCTCTCTCTCTCTAGTCTCTAGCTCTCTCCGTCTCTCATCTCTCTCTCGTCTCTCTTCTCTCTCTCTCTCTCTCTCTCTCGTCTCTCTCCTCTCTCTCTCCTCCCTCTCTCTCTCTCTCTCTCTCTCTCTCTCTCTCTCTCTCTCTCCCTCTCTCTCTCTCTCTCCTCCCCCCTCCAGGTGTCGGGGTTCCCCCCTCCCCTGCGGAGCCTCTCCTCCTCCTCGGGGTCTGCGGGGGCCCCAGCCCCTGCAGGTGGGGGTGGGCAGCCCCAGACGCTGAGGGCGGGGGGCTTCACCCAGCAGGCGGGGTTCAAATACTGCTTCAGAGACGTGAAGGACGGACAGGTGAGGACCCTGAGCTCTGAAGCTCTGAAGATATAATTACAATTATACAGTTAAGTTATTTAAAATAAGAAATGAATTAAAATTAACATTTAATTTGTGTATGTGTGTGTGTGTGTGTGTGTGTGTGTGTGTGTGTGTGTGTGTGTGTGTGTGTGTGTGTGTGTGTGTGTGTGTGTGTGTGTGTGTGTGTGTGTGTGTGTGTGTGTGTGTGTGTGTGTGTGTGTGTGTGTGTGTGTGTGTAGTGCAGCTCTCCTCTCCCCGGGCTGAGGAGCAGGGATATGTGCTGCAGAGGGATCGGGAAGGCCTGGGGGATCACAGACTGTGTGCTCTGCCCTGCTTATAGAGGTACACACACACACACACACACACACACACACACACACACACACACACACACACACACACACACACACACACACACACACACACACACACAGTACCAGAGTTACTGTACTTAGTTACTTTAATGAACAGTATCTGAAGTGGAGTTCAGAGGACTGACGCTGTCTTCCAAAAATACCTCTGAGATATCCCTGCAGCGAGAGCTTTGACCAAAAACAACAAAGTGCTGCCAACTTCCAACACACACACACACACACACACACACACACACACACACACACACACACACACACACACAGGGAGTAATGATGCTTCCTCCGTGTTCTTGTCGAGCTGACTAACTGTAAAGGAATGCTGCTCTGTGGGCTTTAGGCCTTTAACACACACGTGTGTGTGTGTGTGTGTGTGTGTGTGTGTGTGTGTGTGTGTGTGTGTGTGTGTGTGTGTGTGTGTGTGTGTGTGTGTGTGTGTGTGTGTGTGTGTGTGTGTGACAGGGAATTTGTGTAAGCTCACTAGCTGGCGTCTGTCAAATCAGAAAGAATTACATAATACACTTTAAAAAAAAGAAAACAGCGAGTAAAACGAAAAGAAACACACACAGACACACACACACACACACACACACACACACACACAGACACACACACACACAGACACACACAGACACACACACACACACATGATTTGTACTTCTGTGAAATGTAAAAACATGAGCAGATGTTTTTTCCAAATCTCAGATAAATCTTCTTCCTCTGTGCCTCAGCGCTCCATTGTTGTTCTAAACTCACACACTCACACACCATGAACACACACACCTTATTCGTTTTGGTTTTAATCTCACACACACCGTTATGATTATTATTATTGCTGTTGTTTTTTTAATAACCATTACATATGGTCTTCAGATCAGAGCAACAGCAGCTGTCCTGTTGGGTTTGAACGGGTCAACGGGTCGGAGTGTGTCGGTGAGTTTGTACTTCCTCGTACTTCAAGTACTACGTGAATTTGACAATTGCTGAAAAACTATATTCATCCTGGAGGGGGAACAGGGTTTCCTAAAAGATGCTCCATTTAAATGGTAACTCGTTTAACTGTGTAATATGTATAGGGAAAACAGAGTAAAAAGGCCCTTCTTATTCCAATATACATCACCAATAAGTATGTAAAAATGTGTAAGTTGCATTATATACAGCAGTGTATACATATATTAAAGTATAATTGCAGAGAGTACTTATAATAAAAAATGTTGTCATGTTGTGAAGGTATTTATCATGAGGGAGTGAGTGTGTGTGTGTGTGTCCTGTTTCCCAATATTAGTACACTTGTGTGTGTGTATGTTAATGTGTGTGTGGTGATGTGTGTGTGTGTATATTTAAATGTGTGTGTGTGTGTGTGTAGAAGTGAATGAGTGCCTGCAGCCGGGCCTGTGTGAGAACGGGATCTGTGTGAACACCAGGGGGAGCTATAGCTGTGTGTGTAGGGAGGGGTTCATCCTCGACGCCTCGCACGGACTCTGCATCTGTAAGTAACACACATACATACACACACACACACACACACACACACACACACACACACACACACACACACACTCTCACACACATGGCCGCCGGCTTGGGAATGATCAGGAATATCGCAGACTCCGGTCAGAACTTCCTGAATCCTCTGAACTCCTTGTTTCTCTGAAATCTGGACGTCTGTCGTCTCAACAAAAAAAACAGATCACCCAGCAGATGATTTTATTTATTCATCATGAACATGAATAACATCCCTTGGATTTGTTGTAGATCAATACTGAGACAATCCAGTGTTCAAATCTACTTAAGAAAGTTTTATGGAGGGTTTTATACGGAGGCCGACAGGTGCAAACTCGATATAAAAACACAAATGTTCCACATGAAGAATGACAAAAAAGTGAAATTATGAAAAATAAATCGATGGTGACAAAAAAAAAAATTAAAATTGTTTTGAAAAAATTAGGACCAAAAAAAAAAAGTTGACAAAAAACATGAATTGACTAAGAAAAAAAGTTGAATCCCAAAAAAAAAGAAATTGTCTTTTTTCGGGGGGGATTATTGAAAAAAAAAAAAACGTGTGGACCAAAAAAAAGAAAAGTTGACAAAAGTTTATCAAAAAATTGACGAAAAGAGAAGTTTATCAAAAGATAAGTTGACAAAAAAAAGTCGACTTAAAGTGGACCTATCATGCTATATGTAAATGATATATTGTAGGGCCATACCTATATAAGGTATATTTATACGTTTCTGTTTTCAAAATACCAAACAGATCATGCATTTTAGCCATGCCTCATTTCGCTCTATGTGCTGTTTGCTGTCTTTGGGTCTGATTCTGCTGACCACGCCCCCCTGCAGGAGAGGGGAGACGTGCTCTGATCAGCTGCTGGGCTGTCAGAAGAGGGGGAGAAAAAGAGATCTCCGTCCTCCGTGTTTTATTATATAGAGTCGTTATTCATTTGTTTTAAAGCTCAATAAATATCAAAGAAGACCTTTGACCGGCACTTTTCTAATTTTGTCCGGAAGATTTAAACTTTAACGGACATCTTGACAGGCGAAAGAAACTGAAACTGAAACTCTGCCGCACGGTCCCCTCGTTCCTTGGAAGAGGCGGAGAGGTGGGTGTTTGTCATCTGCTGGTGGACTAACCGGAGAGAATTACAGTGCTTGCCTCGACGGGGAGGGATTGCATTGAATTAAAGCAGCAGGAGCAAACGCTTGCCTCGGGGAGGGAGAAAGAAAGCCACAGCGGAGAATAAACAGAAGGGTAACCATGGTAACCAAGTCTTCTTCGCTGCTTTTGTGGCAGACTACAGCGCCACTTACAGGCCTGGCATATGTACTACAGCGTCTCCAGCGCTTTCGAACGGCAATAGCCGTGGCTGTCTCCTCCTGATTGGTGGAGAGTTGGCCCAATAGCCGTAGCGCCACTGTTCTGACGTCAGGATATATATAAAAAGTTGATTAAAAAAAAAATGTCACCAAAATAAAAAGTTGATTCCAATTAAATAGAAACAAAATGTATGTTGGCAAACAAAAAGAAAAAAAAAAAAGTTGCGTTTTTTGGGGGAGGGGATTATAAAGCTGAACAACTGTCTCAGAGTTAGTCTGTCTCATAACTGTAAGTGTTTTGTCAGTTTATCTGAAATGGCTAGCTAGCTTACAGCAGATCTGCAGTAACATCAGAAGGAGTCATGGGATCACGTTGTTAAAATAAGACCATACAACATTTCAGGTAAGTTTCCAACAGCTAGCCAATAGCAGCGCGAGTCCAATGGAGGCAGGGGGTTAAACGTTTCGAGAGCCACTTCCAACATACGGGGTGTGATTTCAACGCACAAATAATCCAGAAGGATAATCCATCTGTCAGGATGAATCCATTTGTTTTCCATTTTCACCACACATCCCTCCTTCTGAGTGTGTGTGGTTGAACAGGTTTCCCCCCATCTAAAACCAACCCCTTCCCCTTAAACAGAAATAATATAGCAGATAGGAGACCAAGGGGTGTCAACAAATATATTCAGGGGCGTAAACAACTAAGGTGTGTAGATACATATTCAACAAATAATATCTGTAGGCCATGTAGACTTATAAAACAAGACATGTTAAACAATTAAAATAAAATATAATAAACTCAGTTAATGGCTCCCATTGGGAAAGAAAAGTCCCTCTGCAGGGAACACTGGGATTTTAGCCTTTGCAGACCATTTACATGCACTGAAACCTACAGGACACACTACAGGACACACTACAGGACACACTACAAGAGCATATAGGGCCCCTTTAACAGAAACAACTGAAGGTCAAGAGACGTCTTTGTCCTGAAGTCAGGATAGAAATGAGAGAGAAACTGAAGTGAAGAGTTTGGGAAGTCTGACCGGAGCGCTGCGTATTCTGACCGGCATTCGAAGAGGAGGAGGAAGAGGAAGAGGAGGAGGAGGATGATGAGGAGGATGATGAGGAGGAGGAAGAGGATGCTGGTCCGCATGTACCTGGT